GTGTGTGAGAGAGAGAGAGTGTGTGAGTGTGAGTGTGTGTGTGTTGATATCTGTTTTTCACTCACGGGATATTTCTCCAGTGGGTCTGTGAGCAATGCGTCTCCAAATATTGATCGGCAATACTCTGCCATCTTCGCCTGCTGTTTGGGACTGAGACACAGTAAGAGCATGAGACACACTGAGGAATCGAGCGACGCCAGCCGCCTTCACGTTCTGAATGAAACATTCTTTCAATACAAGTTAAAAAGATATGCACACCAAAGACTGAAATTATCTACAGTATAAAGCGTAAATGGACTAATGTGCAGAAGTTTAATATTTATTGTTAGAGGTTTAGAACAAACCCTGGGCAGAATGTTAGAGAAACATCACCACACACACACACACACACACACACACACACACACACACACACACACACACACACATGTTGTGTTTCCATGTTTTATGGGGACATTCCATAGGCATAATGGTTTTTATACTGTACAAACTGTATGTGCTATTGCCCTACACCAACCCTACCCCTAAACCTACCCCTTAAAGGAAACTTTGTGCATTTTTACTTTCTCAAAAAAACTCATTCTGTATGATTTATAAGCTTGTTTCCTCATGGGGACCTCAAAAATGTCCCCACAAGGTCAAAATTGACTAGTATTACTATCCTTGTGGGGACATTTGGTCCCCATAACGTGATAAATACCAGGTACACACCCACTCTCTCTCTCACATACACACACACAGAGTACATGTTAACTGTAACAACATGCTGTGAGTAAAGCTCTAAACACTTGGATCATTTATGTTACTCTAAGAAAGAGTGAAAAAGAGCTTTGACACTTACGAGTCCACATGGTTCTCAAAGGACAGGATGACTGGGAACGGAGACATCTTGAAGGCGCTCTCTGCGATGGCCTCAATCACCTCCTGAAAAGCCATCCATTAGTTTACATGCATGGAAATGACACCACAACTGAGGGACAGTCATGATTTAAAAAAAAATTAAGAATTAATTTTTTAAAGAAAAAATTAAAAATTAGGTGTGCAATGGGTGCTTTCTCCGTTTATGCGATCATTCTTGTGCCTCCTCAGAGACTGATGAGACATCAAGTCTGTCTCATACACTAGAGAAATGTTTTTGGTACACTGGATCACTATCCTTTATCAACAGAATTCAGATTGTGTACACACTAAATTGTACCACCACATCTGCTAAACCTAACAAGTTATTCTAATCCGTTAAAATATGTTTTTCAATATGTCGCAATCGCGTATGCTCTCTCTGCCTCCTTCATGCCATTTCCTCATAATCCTTCATGTTCTGCCTTACGGTTCCTAAAGCTCATGCCGTCTGAATGTTCTGCTAAATCTCACCGCTGGTTCTGTTTCTCCACATCCCTGTCAAAACCATCTCATCCAGCTCAAATCCCTCGGACTGCAGAGTCCACACCTAACAAGGGAGATAAATGCATTTACCTTGAAGCAGATCTCTGAGGTCATGGTGAAGCCGTGAGTGATGAACGGCTCCTCGTCAGCGGTGCGCCCCTTCCAGCAGTCCAGCTCTATACAGCGACAGCCGGATAGCAAAACCTGCCGGTACATCTCCACAGACGAGTTTCCCGCCAGCTGACCCGCTGCAGAAAACAACACGACGGACATCAGGAGACTCGATAACAAGCCTCTCACTCGTATCTAATCTACTGTCTTTGCTGATGCATTGCATGTTTCACCTGTCTGATTTGATCAAGTTTGATCATTAAAATATAGTGCTTCTCTTCCTTGTCAAAAGTTTTGCATTCATAATGTTACCATTTAACCTACAATAATAATGCATCTCAGCTGAGAGCAAATGCAATGCAAAGCCTTTAATAAAAGTGGAGAATGGTTTATGTTACAGAAGTCACATATATTTTAGTCTTATGAGTGATTATGTGCTTCCTGTCTGATTGAGATAACTGGCAGAACTTCATCTAAATTAATCTAAAAATGCATTAGTGACACATCTTGAGTTTTATTGTAAAATTGAGTATATGGATTGGAAGTGCTTAAACTGAGTCTAAATGAAGTACAGCCATTAGCTCAAATGATACTGACATTAATATCATAATTCTATAGCTACATAAGTGCAAAGAATTGCAGGGAGGTTTTTGTCACTCCATCTTCATTCGAATGGCTAAATCTAAGTGCATTAGCATCTGAAACCACATTGACACTGGATCATCTGTTCAGGCCACAAACGATCATCACTGAGGATTATTTGTACATTTGTGAGCATCCCACAAACATTAGTTCATCTGCTTTTATGCTCTCAGAGTGACTCACTTCTTCATAGTCTGATGGAAACGGAAAAACCCCAAACCAAATCCCTGACAGTTTCATATTCAATTTGTGTTCACAACAAAGTGACGTGGCTCACAGTACCAGCGCTCTGCGGAGTGTAAAGCCTGTGGCTGATGACAGGAATGAAAACGAGGCTGTGAGGGACTGATGTACAGTGATGTAGGTGTTGTGCAAAGCGTCTGATTGGCTGACCTGTGAGGTAGGTGTTGTGCAAAGCGTCTGATTGGCTGACCTGTGAGGTAGGTGTTGTGCGAGGCGTCTGTTTGGCTGACCTGTGAGGTAGGTGTTGTGCAAGGCTTCTGATTGGCTGACCTGTGAGGTAGGTGTTGTGCAAGGCTTCTGATTGGCTGACCTGTGAGGTAGGTGTTGTGCAAGGCTTCTGATTGGCTGACCTGTGAGGTAGGTGTTGTGCAAGGCTTCTGATTGGCTGACCTGTGAGGTAGGTGTTGTGCGAGTCGTCTGATTGGCTGACCTGTGAGGTAGGTGTTGTGCGAGTCGTCTGATTGGCTGACCTGTGAGGCAGGTGTAGTGCAAAGCGTCTGATTGGCTGACCTGTGAGGTAGGTGTTGTGCGAGTCGTCTGATTGGCTGACCTGTGAGGTAGGTGTTGTGCGAGTCGTCTGATTGGCTGACCTGTGAGGTAGGTGTTGTGCGAGTCGTCTGATTGGCTGACCTGTGAGGTAGGTGTTGTGCAAGGCTTCTGATTGGCTGACCTGTGAGGTAGGTGTTGTGTGAGTCGTCTGATTGGCTGAACTGTGAGGTAGGTTCTGTGCGAGTCGTCTGATTGGCTGACCTGTGAGGCAGGTGTAGTGCAAAGCGTCTGATTGGCTGACCTGTGAGGTAGGTGTTGTGCGAGTCGTCTGATTGGCTGACCTGTGAGGTAGGTGTTGTGCGAGTCGTCTGATTGGCTGACCTGTGAGGTAGGTCTCATTATAATATTACCGCCCCTTAATCTGTAAATTTACACCCACGGAGCCGTCATTTTGATTCGCAAGCGACAACGGTGTACTAGTTCTAATGCCATGATGAAAGATTGAGCAGAACATGCTAACTGTTCTGTGTTTGGCTGCAAGGTCAGACAGCATCTCCACGGAAGACTACAATCCAGCATCTTTTAAACATACAGGTTCTTCGATGGTTTTTTGCAGTGAGTTAGACTCAGTAGAGAACCCTCCTCTGATACAGGGCTCATGAGCTGCTACAGTATGGCTCTTACCAAAAACATCTACATTCATCTCTCCAAAAGTTTTTTGATTGAATTATCTTCTTTTTACTGTAAAACGGACTCTTTGCCACTTGTAAAATGTAAATGAGCCTTGTTATGATTGGTGTAGTTCATACTGAATATGTGTGGGCGGGTCATATGTTAATGAGCTCATGGCTGTGATGTTGTTTCTGCAGTTTAAGTAATAAATATTCAGGATGGACTGGAGAGAGGAAGTTTTGGGTTTTGACCGTCACATAACATCAAACTCTTATTCACTGAACAGCAAACCTTCAGTTCAACATCATATGAGCATTTTAAATCATTACAGCTTTAATTCCCTGGGATCAAACAGCAGACAGTGGGCGGAGTCTGTTTGAGTGACAGGAGAATTCACCAACCTCTTCGTGAAAGCATGGTGTCAGGCTCGTATTTCTCCACCAATCCCTGCACTTGCTCCGCTTTGAGGGGCGGGTACAGGATCTCGTTCAGACGAGGGTCTCTCTGTCTGTTGTTCAGGAAATCCGTCATCTGCTCTACGGTGAGGTACGGCCGGATCTTAGCGCCGCTGCACATCAGTACAGAAACACACACACACACACACACACACACACACACAGAGACACTCACACACAGACACACACACACACGCACATGCACACGCACACAGAGACACACACACAGACACACAGAGAGAGAGAGACACACACACACACACACACACACAGAGACACTCACACACAGACACACACACACACGCACATGCACACGCACACAGAGACACACACACAGACACACAGAGAGAGAGAGACACACACACACACACACACACACAGAAAGAAATAACTTTACATATGATGAAAACCATGAAGTCCATTCATGACCACATACAAGTTTAGTTTACATGAACATGACATCTAAATGGACTTTTATATTTTGTGTATATTTCTTAACACACTTTCCGGGTCTTATTGTAAATGATTCATTATTCTAAAGAAAAAAAAAAAGTCTTCATGTAACTTGCTCCACCTCTGAAACGACTTACACAAGTGATGGGTGAACTAGATCAGTCAGTAGATTGTGATGTTGGATTTTTTCCATCAGAATGCAGAAGGAACTTACATTTCTGAGAAAATCGTATCGATGTCGTTCCGCGGACAAATGTTGTTCAGGAGCTGTCGGTATACGTCAGGTGTAAATGTATCCTGAGGAATGGCGTCATTCTGTAGGAAAAGACAAACAAGTGTGAGATACTGTTTGAATTAATTATTAATTAATTTTTATTAATTATTAATTAACTTTTAATTTAAATGTATTTATTTAATTTAGAAATTTAATTAGGCATAGTCTGTCACAGACACTGTATTTTGGACCAACGTTTTTCACTGAGTGGAGTTACTCGCAGCACTGCAGGAATACAAACCAAATAGATCCACATCACACCTGCTTAAAGCAGCGCTCTAATGAACAGACCCAGTACACTTACACAAAGCAGCGCGAACACAAGGATACAGTGTACATCCAGCATACAGTCATGTGTTCGTGTGTGTGTGTGTGTGTGTGTGAGTGAGTGAGTGAGTGTGTGTGTGCGTGTGCGTGAGAGAGTGTGTGTGAGAGAGTGTTTGTGTGTGTGTGTGTGTGTGTGTGTGTGTGTGTGAGAGTGTGTGAGAGTGTGTGTGTGTCCTTTATTGCATATTGTTTCATTTTATCTTTTTATTGTCTTGTACTTTATTGTATATTCTTTTATATTCTATATTTATTGTCTTTGTAATTTATTTTCTGTTCCCCTTCTACCCCATCTTTCTCGGGAGGAGATAAAGTAATAATTTCATTGTACCTAGCACATATGACAATAAAGATCTTGAATCTTTGCATCCACTGAAGTCTTCAGAAAGCGAGTGATATTTGTTAAGTTTCTGCTAGCACCTGAAGCATTTTACAATCATTAAAGAAGTGAATCTATCATCACAAATAAAACTAAGAGCTTTTACCTCTTAGTCCAGCTATTCAATATAAAAGAGATCATGATATATTCTGTGCTGATGGTTCATTACGTATGACCGCCGCTGCTCTAAAAAGAGCGAGGTTTTAGCAGAATGAAGCGTTCTCTTACTCGTCCTGTCGGCAGGCTGCAGACCTCCAGAGCGTTTTCAACCCTCCGTCTGTCGGCCGAGAACAGACGGAAGATACTGCAAGACAGAATACGACAGCATCTGTACAGACATGTTGAGGTGAACCTGCTTAACATTTGCTGTTTTTACCCACTTTTTCACAGGAATGCCACCCTCGGCCGTCAGCTGTAACGTCAGTCTTGTGTACCTGTGAAGAACAGAACGAATCATGATCACACACAGCCTGAACAGACAGACTTCATAGAGAATTGGCCAGTCACCGATAATAATGGGCTGCGCTGCGGATACTCACTAGTACTAATGGATAAAGCCTCACCTTACACATGCTATTTATTCACTTCACGTCTCCCCTTACACACACTCTCACACACTCACACTCACACTCACACACACACACACATTTAAGCCTCATTTAAAAAAAAAATAATATGGTGACATACTGCTGCATTGAGCTACTGTACATATTTCCTTATATACAGTAACGAGTGCATCGGACCAGCTGAACTACTGATTTATAGTTAGTTACGCTGGTGAGCATGTGCATTTCTGTGCTGGTGTGTGTGAGTGTGTTTAGATAGTTTACATTTCCCAGACTGCTTCTCTCCCATCCCAGAATGCTTTGCAATGGTATTGAAGCATGTAAAAACCACAAGACATGTGTCTAAAAACAGTCCGTGTGCAAAACACTATCGTTAACTATTCAGCGGTAAGTGGCTTTTTGCAAATAATTAATGCAGCTGGACTCTTTCCCGGCCAAAGTCACAGCCGTCCTGATTTACGATCCGGTGTGGGAGAGCGGCATCATGGGATTGAGTCCCGGACCCTCATCATGTGACCAGACGGCCGCGGTCATGCTATCGCTACGCACCGGCTGAGCAGAGTTAATACTCAACCAGCTCACGCTAGCAGACGTTACGTGAAGCCTGGAAGTAATTTAGACTCGCAGCAGCGCCGAGTCTGTGAAGAAAGGCTGATTTTCATTTTCATTTCAGTGTCAGAACCAACAGATGTGAGCTAGAATGACCAACACAACGGCTAACACATGCTGCATCATTATAGTGTGAAAAGCCTCATATTCACTGGTCCCGGCATTTTATTTTGGAGTTTTACAAAACCTCTGTGTATGTGAAATGAGAAACGTGTGTTGTAAAGTGTGTTCATGACATCATAAACTCGTCTCTTTCTCAGAGGAACGGGAAACACTCACACTTTCTCCAGACAGGATTCTCTGGACATGTTCTGAGCCAGCAGGTTCGACGCCAAGCTGAAAAGCTCTTCGGCCCACTCCTAAACACACAGAAAACATACATCACACCGTTATCAAGTCTGGATGAACTTTAGTGCTTGAAGAGACTCGTTACAAAAGACAATCAGCAGCCGAATGCAGGAAAGGGTTCATTAATACGATCTGAATGAGAGAACGGACAAAGACCATCATAAATATCATCACAACGTCCATTAGTTCCCATCAGCATTATTGTTTTCTTTCAGTGGTGTTTGTGGCTCTGATAAAGTGAATCAGACGATGTCTATCAGCACCAAACTATCGGTTCACGTTCTTGTTGTTTCTCTGTGATCAGAAGAAAACTGCATGATTTAATGGTGTATGTGCTGGATTTCTATCTGTTGCTTCATATTTGTAGCTGATGTTTTTGGAGTTTTTGATGACTCATTCTAAAATTAGGTTAATGGTTATGATTGTTTCCTAAAGCAAAATGCAACCTTTCAAAATAAATGAACAAGATAAATTATTTTGTGAAATTCCTTTAGGGAGTGTCACTGAAAGAGAGCCACTGAAGGTCTGATAGTGTGAACGCAGTGTCTGTTTCTAAGTGTCAGAGCAGACGTTACCTTGGCCACCTCTTCGTTGAAGGCTGTAAAGTTCAGGCAGGTGATGTTGACCATGTCTGCACCGCTGACCACTGTGAGTGTCCGGTTCTCCAGCCTCCCCTCCAGAGTCCCCACATCCAGAAGCTCTCGCTGCTTGGCCTCCTGGAGAAAACACCGCAAACACATCAGGAGTGAGATATACGGGGGAGTGGCTTCATTGCATCAGATATACGTCACTTTGCTCACAGCTGATTGGTCCAGCTCAGTGTTGCCAGATTGGGCGGTTTTGAATTTGATTGTGTGGGTAAAAATTGGCTTGGGCGGGTGGACAAAATTTGGGCTGGTTTGGGACATCATGCAAACGATTGAAAACGGTTGTCAAACCTGTTGAGGAGACGATACGATAAATCTGTGAAAGGGTCTGATGTGGCGCTGATTGGTCAGTCCATCCTTCTTCTGGTTCAGTGTACCCAACTATTCTTCCAGACAGATCAACACAACAAATGTTCACTAACTAAACCAATCCCACAAAGACAAACACTGCAAAACAACCTGTACTCAGCCCATCACATCTCACTCGGCTTTTACTGTACCGTTACTGAAGCCACCACGAGAACATCACAGAACTGAACTGAGCTGAATAATCACACTATCGTCTTGTGTAGAGCTAATTACAGCATCATTTGAATTTGTCACATATTTTATCAAGTTTGCACCATTTTCCAGTTTGATTAGACCAGTGTATTTGTGGACAGAGGTTCAGACTGCATCTGGCAGCCGTAAAGGTGTTTTGATGCAGGTCAGACTCACATTTGCATGGCATAAACATTCATCTCAGAGCTGGACTGCAAATGCACAAAGCCCTGACCTGCAGCGTCTGACAGACAGTAAAACTGAACTGGACAGCATGCAGTCGCACGCATAATCAATAAAATGAAAAGTGCCGATTTAAACAACTATCAATCACACAGAGTGCCTGCGCTCATTCTGACATTCATCACAGGCTGAAAAATCACCGCCACTTTGTCAGAGCACTGTTAATGTAATGCTGAACTGGTATTGTTAAGAGTTAGATTACTGTTATAAAAATCAGCCGCATCCAAAAGGTAAAGGGGGAGGTGTTGCTACAATTTATAGTAATATTTTCAGTATTTCTCAGAGCTCAGTGGCCTGTAGCATGAAGCGAGATGAACAAACTCAAGAGTTGCAGAGTAAGTTTTGAGTTGACAAAACCCGATAAAGCCAACCTGGTTAAGATCAGGTTCACTGGGCTCACAAAGCTCAATATAAACCTTCTCTCCCAACTCAGAGTTTGAACCAGAGTTTGTGATTAACTCTGGAGCGCGTGCATTCAAGTAATCACAATGCCTAAATATAAGATAAAGAGTGGGAGAGTGACTCTCTCAAAACGTGAATTATTGTGGAGTGAGATGACACGAAGGCTCTATCACTGCAACTCCGAAATCAGAGCACATTTGAATGAATCAAAACCGAAACTAAATATCTCGGTACATACGATCCTGTCTTTTAGCGTTTAAACAGTCCAGGGATGCGTTTCCCAAAAGCATCGTTAGCTAACTATGGTAGTTAGTTCCACTGAAATCTATTGGTAACGACGGAACTTGCGAACATAGTAGCTTTTGGGAAACGCACCCCAGTTTGATAAATCCTTAAAAACTGCTAGACTTGATTAGTTTTGACTGTGCAAAGTTCTGTATTATGTTCTACAATATGAACTTAATCTAGTTCTGTGTAAAATTATAGAGCAACACGAAGGTAAGCGCATTATTGTTGTTGTTATTTTATTTTTTTTTAATTGTCGGATTATAATTCAGTATGTATCAATGAATGACACAGTTTTGACTGTCATGATGTGTGCATGAACGAGCGTGAAATACCTGTTAGATACGTTGCTTTTTCCTATCACTTATATTGGGCACTTTTTGCATTTAAATTGGATTATTCTGACTGCTGACACTGAAAATGATGCATGTGTTGTTTCGAGGGTATCGGTTAATATATTATTTTATTCATATTTTATTCATGTTCGGTAGCCTAATTCTCTTTAATGTAGGCTATTTGATCCGTTTACCTGGGAAATTTATCTAACGTTATATTTATATTATTTTGTCATCATTATTTAGTTTTAAGGAGTTAAAAATGGCCCTTGTCAAGCTTGATTTACATATTCCATCACATTATTTTGACAGTTTTTTGTGAGCTTTTGGGCTGGAAATCGTCCATCCAATCTGGCAACACTGGTCCAGTTTGGGTTTGCGATCTCTAACCCGGAATAAAACCTGCTCCGGAGCAGGGTAGCTGTGTAGCGTAAGTTACCATGGCGACGAAACCCGCTCAAAACCAACCCACCTTCTTGAGCCTGAAAACTCAAGAGTTTGCTCAAACTTAACGTGAACTTACCTGTGGGTAAAAACTGAAACCGGCTTCGTGCTACAGGCCACTGGTTTCTAGAGATGCACCGATCGACCGGCCGTTTTGACATCACACTTACTCTCACATCCGCATGTAAACATGTCTTTTCGCGCGAGAATGATTCTAATTTTAATTGCATTCAGTGTAAACGGCGACTGATAATGTATTTATGTTGTGCCAGATGAGTGAGAGAGATTGAGACTCATGCAGAAATCAATACAAATTAGCGCAACAGCACACACAAAGTAACTCATAGAAAGTTATAGACCCCTTTTCAATTAGTAAACACTGTGATGTTTTTCTGTGGGCGGAGCAGGATTCCCTGACCGCTTCACTAACGCTAGCTAGGAAGTTTTGTTAGCTTGTTTTTTAACAATGACCGGAGAAAACCCGATTTTACCTGAATATGTACGGTCACTCACTGCCACAGCGATTGTTATTTGAAAAAGTGAACTTTAACGGACGAAACCAGACTAGCCGACCCGTACACTCACGATCTGACACGATTACCTCCGGTTGAGTGACTCATTTACCCCTGATAGAGAAACCTAACGAGTATAGTAAAGAGAAACTCACCTGTGTCTATCTAGTCATGAAGATGTATTTCAGTGTCAGCAGGCTACTATTTTTACAGCTACACGAGAGTGAACTGGGCCAAAATACAGAAAAAGTTAAACATTTAATGTGATGGATATATTATTTGAAGATGTATGTATGTAATGGCCAAATAGTTATTTTAAAGTATACCTCCTGTAAATTATGTGAGTTTACAGTAGAGGTCTACACGGAGGACCCGAGACCCGAGGACCCGGGACCCGACCTGGGATCCGTACGGGTTCGGGGCTATATTTTAAATGGTCAGCCGGGTCCGGGTCGGGTCCCAATCTATTACTTCGGGTCCGGGTCTGTTTAACATTGTGTGTAATACCTGAGTCGATCGGACTCGGAGAACACCCGGCCGTTATCAGAGTCAGTCAGCGCTGTGCGTGTGTTGTTTTGTAACTTTCCACTTGTAAAATTAGGATGAGAAACCCACAAACTGCAAATTTTCAACTTTCTGTATTTTATTATTCTTTATTACCAAGTTCTTAAAAATTCCAGCCACAATCAATCACAATTTATATACAATTACAGGTGATTAAGCACATAAACCGTGAATTTGCTGTTTTACACACATGCACAGACTTTCATACACGACATAAGCTACTCTTGCATGTTGTGAGATGCATAAGAAATCTTTAGACGCGTAACCCAAACCATAATCCATAACAACAAAAGACAATACTTTATTTAACCTTTTCTGACAAGAAGCATTTTTGGCGATTGTTTCTGTCCGGTCCGCTCGTTTTATTGCGTTCTTAACCACAGCTGTCGTGGGTTTTTTGTCTGGCAGTGGCAGCAGATATGGAATCTGTGCTGGTTTGAATCGGCCGCCTCCAGTTTTCCCTTTGTTTTGCCTCCAGCTAGCACTGTGACGTAATTGTGACGTCGGCACTAAAAGGATGCCTACTGCCGTAGAAAAAAAACGATATTTATGAAATATGATTTAGGTAAGCAACATTATATGACCAAGATGTTTCCCCGAATATCAATATCAACACGATTGCAATGTGACACTGATTTTATACAATAGTAGTTCAATAAACAAGAAGTTAAAATTAAGTGACTTACATTTTAGACACAAAATCTACTGTTTTTGCTCAATTTCACAAACGAAAATCGTTCCAATCAAAGCCACAGCAGAACTGTTGTGTGTCTCCGAGCAACACAGCGGTGATTCGCTACTGAATGAAGAATGAATCCTGAACGAATCGAGTGAGTCAATGAAATAAAACCTCCGCATGTAATAACCTAGAATACTGTATACTGTCTGATGGCTGCTCTGTCAGCTCTGAGTGGTTCCTTTTCCTATTTAGCGTCCAAACTCTGGAACAATCTACCTAGAAATATAGAAATAATATAGAAATAAAGGTGATTTGATTTTGACTAAGCAGTCAAACCACAACTCCTTCATAACCATCAGAATAGTAACGTGCTCCATGCTGATGTCACCAATCCCACCAATCCCTCCAACTGTCATATAGAGACACTTTTACCATCCAATCAATCAAAATCAACGCACTAAAGCCACTAAAGCCCGAATATCCTTCATCCATTACAGAAGTAAAATGACCTGCAAACATGTTTCATGACATCATGACATTCGCACACAGGACTGAATTAGTGCACTGATGCATTGTGGGGCTTCTGGAAGACTGGCCTTAAAGTTCTGTTGCCGTGGCGATTGAGGCTCGTAGCCTGGCAGGGGCCCGATGTCTCAGAGCCAGGATCCTGTGTGTGTGTGTGTGAGAGAGAGTGTGTGTGTGTGTGTGTGTGTG